ATAAATAACCTGGCAAGACCGGGGTCGAACCACAGGGAGGTTAATTGTACAAATTATAAATAACAATAATACAACAACAACAACAATAATAATAATAATAATAATAACAACAACAACAACAATAGTAATAACAATAATAACAATAACAATAACAATAACAATAATAATAATAATAATAATAATAATAATAATAATAATGAAAAAAGAAGGAGAAGAAGAAGAAGAAGATGAGAACTTTGAGATGGAATATTAATGTAACGATTAAACAATTATAATAACAAATGTCAAGGTTAGAGGTTCCACTAATGGTATATCAAACAAGTATAGTATAAACTCTTATTATTGAATTGGAAACCACACACAAAGGAGGTTCCAATCAGATTATAGATTGTTAACATGATTACATTAGTCATCTTATTCAATTAATGCTAATACTTGTAAATCTCGTCAAGCATTCATGATTATAACTTATGTTAACAACAAATCAAGTTCCTTTCATAGCTCAGGTGTCGGTTATACCATACATTATGGGCTATGAAAGTGCCAAGCATTTGTTGTACCAAGTGTTATACAACATAAATCAAGATTAGTCATTTAACAAGCAAAGTATTAAAGAGTGAACAAGATAACAAATATAAAACATGTTAGTATTAAACATTAAAGTCCATATTAAGTTTACATTATACTTATTCTTACACCATTAGTGTAACCTTTTCACCTTGACATAACTAACTTAGCTAGACATAATGAAAGAAAGCAAAATAGATAAACAAAATAAGAACATAAAAGTTAACTAAGTAAAGAAAAGGAAATGAAAGGCATAAACTTGATATTAATGAAAGTAAAGCATAAACATTACAAAGAATACAAAGAGAGAAAGGAAGAGCATGATCTTGATCTGGAAACCAAGATGCCTAAATGCATGGCAAATGCCTCCTTTTATAGGCCAAAATTGGGAACTATTGATTTGATGACTAATTGATAAGTGGGTGGCCAACTTTTGACTTGGTGACAATCCTTATCTTCTCTTGTCTGCCCAAAACGTCATTGATAACGTCCAAATTGGAGCCAGTTGTAAACATGAAAGTTGTAGGCAATTGTCTCAGCTTTCTTGTGTAAAAACGTCAGCTCATTTGGACTTCTAGAACTCCAGATATGGCCAAAATACCGAACAGTGCTCGGGCTGGAAGACAGATTCGGGCTTCTTTGTTGTTGCTACAATTTGGACTTGATAATGGCCTTTTTAGATCTTGGGCTCCATATGAAAGTTGTAGACCTATGTCTTACCTTTCCATCCATATAAATTGGATCTAAATTTGAGATATATAGCTCTAGATATGACCCAATTACCGAACAGTGTTCCGGTTTGGATTGCACCGACATCTCTTTTCTAAGTTTGGCCATCTCTTTATCCTTGCAATTTAAATTCTTCAAGTCATCAATCAATCCTTTCATTTATGTGATAGGCCTGCATTAAAAATAGACATTTACCACAAATTATAGGTATCTTATATTATTAGATACATTATTATAAAACATATTTTAGTTAAGGAGTTATTGATATTTCAAGTGCAAAATTATGATATAAAACCATGATAAAAATACACTTTTAAGTACTAATCAGTGTGTAGGCTGAAATTACATGATTTGTAATGGAAATAAAGGATAAAGTCTGGATGACACTCTTTGATAAGTTAAAAATGCCATAAAGAATTCCTATTACGTTAAAGACACCATACTCTATGTGATTATGAGTGATAAGTCTAATTTGTTCTTTAAAGTCTGTTAATGGAAGAACAAGGAAGAAAACTCTCTAAAGGAGAAGTTGGAAAATTTTATATTATTTTCAAAAGTTTTACAAGCCTTTAAACTCATTGAAGCTTCTATCATGCTAATTTAACTTGTTAAGGAACTTGTAATTGTTTCTCCTAAGCTCTCATCATTAGACCATTTGAATACCTATATTCATTAAAACCATCACTTTCCATGTTAGAATTATGATACATATCATCACCCTTGGGTTAAAACTGATTTGTCCTCAAATCAGAATTGTCAACATCTTTCAAGTAAAATGACAGTCTTTTACATTAAAAGTAGTTGAACATTATAGTCACTAGAAAGGTCAGCCTTTTAAACATTATCATTCACCCTTTCAATAGTCTATCAACTTTGGTATCAATTTGGACTTTCATTTGCTTAGAAATATACCTTTGCTAAAACGGATCCAAACAAAATCTCCTAGCTCAAGTCTAATCATTTTTCACCTTTTATTAGCGTGTTTGACATACTTTGTTATCTTCTTTTCAATATGAGATTAATATTGTTCATGGAGTTTTTTCATCATTTCTTCCTTTTTAACCTCATCCATAAAAGTCCTCTCATCAATTAAAATAACTACCAAATTAATAGGAATGGAATGGTTAAAACCATACACTAGAATACGAATTCATAACAAACAAGAAGTCCATAAATCAAAAGGAACCAGATTACATAACTCATACAATAGCTTTTATTCTATGTTATGTTGTCTTATTGAACTTTGATTTATCTAAAACTTTAACCCAACATTAAATGATATATCTGAAAACTCTAAGTAAATTTTTAGTTCAATCTAACAATCAAATTAAGAGTTATATTTGTTGCCATAAAACTGAATAATTAAAAACATTACAAAAGAAATCGAATCTAATCATTTTTTCATTGCATGAATTATATCATTCCTTCTCTCTTCAAGATAATTCATTCTCTAATCACCAACAAGAATAATTGATATGTTATTATCTTTCATAAAATTGTTCATGTTTTCATCAACCCAATCTATAAATTATAAGGCTGGAATTAGTTCTGCACTGTGAGGAATCAAATCATTATCAATTGAATCCTCTACTAAAATTTCAAATTCTAAACCCTCCATTCCAATAAAGTTCAAGTAGCCACTTCGTTAGCCTCTTATTTAATTCTTAGATTCTTTAAGTCTTTGGAGCTTTTGTTTAAGTCTTAGGTTCTTTAAGTCTTAGGAGCTTTTTCCTCACCAACAATTGCCTCCAACAAACAATATTATATGAAAGTAGTAATCAATAATAATTTCAAATTATTTGAATGATAATCATTGTTCCTCTTTTTTGTTTTGCATCCTTTTAGTGTTGAACTGAAGCTCTATTCTTCACATTCTTTATTTGTTTTTTTATAGACCTTTGTAATTCATTTAGCCTCACGCTTCCCATTTGACTCCAATTTAGCAACCATGACATTATTTCATTACACCCTATAAAGCTACTTTTACAGGGTTGCAAATTGTTCATTTCCATGAGGGCATCTATATAATCATAAATTCTTGACATTACTTCTCAAATCTCATCATGAAATCATTACAACCTAATAACATGCGCTTGTTCCAAACTGACTCTCTTTCGAACTTCATCTCTTTCTTCAACCATAATATATCAATTTCTCACAACTCAAAACAAAAATGTCTTTCAACTCAAATAACAATTTCAATGAAAAATATAAACAATTACTAAATCAGCAAGGAAAAACTTGTTCCAATCCAAGTCAAAGAAAACAATTTGTTTCAATCCACAATCTTTAATATTTCTAATCTCATGTCATCCACATACAAAGACCCAAATCAATTCTAAAATCTTAGCTTTGATACAATTGATACAAAGATGATGAGCCTTAGCTTCTTAACTCGAAAAAACTAGCAATTTGATATGAAGATGAAGGTAGGTTTGGTTATATAGTTTTTTTTTTCTTATGGTGTTAATTCTAATGTGTATAGGCATTCAAATGATCCAATGACAAAAACTCGAGCTAAACAACTACAAAATACCTTAACAAGTCAGATTAGCGTGACTGAAGCTTTAATGAGTTTGAAGGCTTATAATATTTTAGAAAATAATATAAAATTTTTCTTCTTCTTCTTTAGAGAGTTTTCTTTGTTGTTCTTCCATTTCCAAAATTGATTGAGAAACAAGTCAGACTTACCACTTTTAATCACAAAAAGTGTAACATTTTTATCCTAATAGGAATTTCTTATAGCGTATTCAATTTATCAAAGAGTTTCATTCAAAATTGATCTCTTATTTCCATTATAAATCATGTAATTATCATCCTAAATACCATAATAAAAAAACTATATAACCAAACCTACCTTTCTTCATCTAGTTTGTTTAGGTTAGGCAAAGGCAAATCAAAATATCTTTTGAAGTTTAGAGCAAGCACCTCCCTATAGTTATACGATGCCTTTGTTCTTTCATTTACCAACAACATACCATCTTTGTAATGGGATAAACATGACAATGAAAGAAATGCCAATATAAGAAGTATCCAGCTCATTTTAAAGACCAAATGATAGGGCAAGATTGGATATTACATGAACTGAACTGAAAACCCGAGTGCAAATGCTAGCTCTTCTTCAAGCTGTTTTTCACAAAACAATGGAGAGGCCACTTACAGTCAACAAAACATTATATCAAACAGAATTAGCTGAGGTTATCATTCCTTCGTTGTTGTTAAGAACTTGAAAGACATGCAACGTGCTCAGGCAGGATAAGACTGCATGGTGGGATCCATGATAAAAAGAAATGATAAGAGAGGGCTAGGAGTTGAATGTTATAATCACAACAATTAACAGAGAACAAAGTTTCACATATCAAAGAGATGAAATAAAGCTTCCTCCAGAGCTTGAAAAATTACAATAGAAGTGTTCTTGCAGAATTATACCATTTAAACAGACAGCTTAATTAAGAAATGTCAGGGGCTAAATAATGATCTGATTGCACGAAAATTGTGTAATTTTCAATCACCTTACATATGGTGGGTAACCACAGAAGTGATCCTCTGAAGTAACCAATGAAATGCTGAACCAAATCTAAAAATGAGTATGCCGCAGAGGTCTTTCTAACTGGACCTGGGACTTTAGCTTGAAACGGTGTACCAGGCAGAGTGTCAACCCCGGGTTGACTTGATGGTTCATAGCAAACAGGCACTGATCAAAATGAGAATAGAGAAATTGGCACCCCCATTATTTTTTCAAAATTGAGAATGTTTTACAGTTAAACAAAAGCAAATCTGAAAAGTACTAAGAATCATTCAGAATCGCTTTTGAGGCTATAAATATTGCCAATCACTCCAACAATACTAACTATTATAGCCAATATTAACATCAGCCATGACAAAAACTTCTCTCCAACGTTTAAATCCTCCCCACTGTGACTTAACCTCAATGCAACAAGAGATGGGAATATAAAACCTAATGAAACTGCCGTTGTCGCCCCTGTAAATTTGAAAGCAGTCCAAATATTTGGAATCATAGTAGACCCAAAATAAATCAGTGCCAATAGAACAGCTGTTAAGGCCAAAGATCTCTTCCTACTCTCTGAAAGCGGAGCTGATCCCTCAAACACCAAGACATCCACTGTTTGTCTTAAAGAGAAATGAACAACAGGAAAAACAAGAACCAAATGAAGAATGTAGCCAATCCTAACAATATAATTCAAGGCGGAGCTAAAACGAATTCCAAGGTCCTTGTCAAAATTGGTCAACACATCAGATTCAGTATCCTTGCCAAAAAGTAAATAACCTGATATCGCAGTTGAAGCATAAACCACAACGCAAAGAACAGTGGTGATCCTGCCCACCCTGTTCATTTTCTGAGGCGATCGTCCTTCAAGCTCATTGTATATAGGCTGAACATTGAAGTGGCAAACATAAGCGTTTGTCATGATCGGAATCACCACAAGCAAATCCAAAATAGCCTGCTTCGAACCGAAATCAGGTGTCATTCTAGGGGCCTCGATTTTCCCTTCAATGAGCTTAACAAAAGCAACAATAAAACATACGACAACAAAAACCACAGCCAGAGCCACAGAAGCAGCCGAAGTCAAGCTCAAAGAATCAATCTTATCCAATGCACAAAGGGGTGCTAAAAAAACCACCACAACAACCAAAATCACCAACTTCCTATGATCCCAAAACCCATTTCCTAACCACTGGTCGAAAACCCCGACATGATGGAGCGATCCTGACATGACATCACCTATAATTATCAAATACACAACCAAAACACCAGCATTGTTCACAATGATGCAAATTTCAGACAAAACCTTAGCAGGTTTCCCCAAGGCAAACCGAACAACTTCACCATAAGAAGAAGCCTTAAACCGAACTGAAAACCTAACTAACAATTCAACACTAATTTCAGACAAAATACCCATGATTATTATCAAAACAAATCCCAAAACCAATCCAAGAACCTTCATTGTAGCAGGTAAGGCCATAATCCCAGCCCCAATAATCGAAGTAGTGAGATTAAAAACGGCACCGTAAATACCAGAGTCTTTACTTGTTTTCTTTTTCGAAACGAGTGGATAATCATCAATGTCAAAATCATCTTGATCGTCGTCGTCAAGACTTTGACCATTGCCAATAAAATTCTCAACTTCATGAAGAGGGTGCAATTTGATGTGGGTTTTTCTTTGGGGTAATGGGTTTTGAGGATCATCGCGTATTTGTAAATCTACGTATGAGTTATTTGATATGGTTGTGTAAGTGCTATCCATTGTATATGCAAGCACAACACAAACTGAAGAAAATGTATGAGATGGAAAGACTTACAGGATGGATGGAATAGATTGGGTTGTATTGAACAGCAAACCAGTTGTGTTGGATAGGGGCGGGGGGGCGGGAAGGGGAGGCCTGGATCTCTCTCAGGGTCAACGTTCTCTTCCCTTGATTTGAAAGGAAGACCGGTATAGCGAGAGAGAAAGGGGAGAGTTTGAAGAGAATGAGGTTTTGCTATTGGTGGTTCGGGAAATCTCCCTCTCTTTTTCTTTTTCTTTTTTCTTTTTTCTTTAGCGCATAATTACGATTCACAACACGTCATCTAGAACCCACAGAAATAATTACGTGGCAACCTTTATGTTTATATTACTTATTTTTGGGTTTAGAGCAATTAATAATTAGTTATTCCATTTGGTTATTTTATAAGAAAATAATTTTTGTTAACATGGAACAATTTAATAAAATTAGAAGTTTAAAAAGAAAATTATTTCCCAGTCAAAATCAAAACAATTAATATAGATTATTAACTTTTATTTTAGATGAATAAACTAGTCATAAAGTAAATAAGTATTCTTCTCTATTGTTAATCATGAACATATAATGAAACATATATACAACTTATTGAAACTTTAATTAAAATAAAAGCATTCAAATAATCTAAGATATTATTTATTAATGAAAAACATTATCACATTGCTAGTCTTATTCATGATAAAAACAAAATTCATCATTTTAACGGATAATACACTTCTTTAGTCAAATATAATCATTCTTCATAGATTAAGACTTAAAAACATAAAAAATAAAGACTCAAAACAAAAATTAAAATATAAAATAAGACAATAAAAAATCAAAGAATTAAATCCATAAAGATCTTGATTTTTTTTGTTCAAAACAAAATAAAGATTAAAAAAAATAAACAAAACATTGCATGCATTTAAAGATCCAAATCTAAGACAATTGTTGAAAATTTATTTTAAAAACATGGTTGATGAGCATATTTGAGTCAAAAAAATAAAATTTATTTATTTATAGAATTAAAACTTTATTAGAAATTATTCTTCACAAAAATTTATTTAATATAAAACATTAACATGAATAAAATAAATTGGGTCAATAAGTAATTGATCTTAAAAAACCCTTAGTTAACATGTTATTATGAAATTAAAAATCTTTTATCTTACATTTAAAAAAACAAAAATATTTTGTAATTTATAAAGTGAAAAGTCAAAGAGTCATAAATGAGCCTTAACAAAGTAATTGAGATTTAACTTATACATATGCATCAGAGCCTCCAAAGTTTAAGTTTGTTTTTTTGTCAATCTATTTTGAACTTGAATTTTAGTTTATTATAAAATAATTTTTTATATTATAATTGTTTTTTACTAGTTTGTGAATAAATAGTCTATATAATCATTTTTCCTAAATAGTTTTTTCTAAAGAAAAAAATGTAGTTTTTAAGATAAAAAAAACCATTAGGTTTTTATTTTTTTATGATAGATCATTAAGGTAAAATGGTGTGAATTAATTATGGTAATTAGTATAATTCATTTTGTATAGTTTGAGTTTTAAAAAAATCAGTATAAATAGAGGTTGAATGGACGATGTTCTACACACCTTGTAGTAGCTTTCAAGCCCTCTTTTTTTTTTTTTTTGCTTTTCTTAGTTTCTTTTTACTAAGTTTTTTCATCCATTTTAGAGTTTCAGTTTTTGTTGAAAGATTGATGCACAAGCTTCTTTTTTAGAAAAATAGATATTTTTCTTTGCTAACTTTATTTTTTCTTGTTTTTATTTTATTTTATTTATTTCAATTCTTCTTCAATTTTTTCTCTGTGAAGGTAATATTTTTCTTAGTTTTTTTAATCAATAATATTAGGTTTTTTAAGTTTTTTCTATATAAAAGTTTGTAATAACCTGTTGAAAAGTGAAGCCCGTGAAAAATAAACATTAAGTTTTTTTTTTTTGTCTCCCTATACATATAGCCTTTATGGTTTTTTTGACATATAACAAATTCATCTATCCTTTGCTCCGGTCTATATTAATTGATATCAAAGTCCAACAATCATTAGTGGCTATTTTACTTTATTATATGTTGTACGACAAACATGGTTAAAAAAAGTTGCAAAATACAACATGCTTGTATAGGAGGGAATAAAAATATTATCCCTAGAAAAAAAAAATTTAAGAACTAGTGTATTATTTTTATCTATATTAGTTGATGTAATTTGAAATCATAGTGGTAGGATCTATGATGGGATGACCTGCACAAAAGATTTGTGTTAAGGATTTATAATTAGGTGGCCTGCACAAAGGTGTTGTGTTAGGGGCTTATGATGAAGTGAATTATACAAAGATGTTAAAATCCCCGATGAGGTGGCTCATGCACAAAAGGATATTTTTGATGAAAAGCAATTTCTAATTAAAGATTGAACTTGATGGCGAGTTCTTTCCAACTTAGAAAGACTAATTGATATTGATTAGCCCACAAATACCATTAGGGATCCATTACATGTTCCAATTATTTCAATCATAGGCTTCAAGACAAAAGCATTGAAGGAGGTAATGAATGAGTTTGTTATAAAGGTTTTGGTTAGGAATAATTTAAAGATCCATTGCTGCATCAGAAGTAGTTTTTAGTCCATCTAATCCAAGTGCAAGAATGGCTCCATCCATGTTTAACATGGGTCTGATATGTCTGGCATTATAGAATCCTTCTCTAGCCAAGCTTTTCTAATGCTATAATGATTCCAAGTAAGCAAATATTCTCTTATTAATTCAAGGAAGATTTTAGTTAAGACTAATTTCTTAGCTAGCAATGATTATTTAATAATTCTCCTAATCTAGGAAGGAAACTAATAAGGCAACAACAAAGGATATATTTGTATTTATTATTGTCCTGGTATTACAAATGCTAAGAAAATCAAACTTATCTCTTTTAGTTTTTTTTTTTGTTATTTGTTATAGCATACAAAATCTTTATTTTAATTTTAATTTTTAAATTTCTTAGGTTTATTTTAATTTAGTTTTGGATCTGATTATAACTAGGCTTCATATTAGCCTATATATTGGGCAAATGAGTTCAAATCTTCCTACTAGGTTTTATCCATTAAGGTATTTTTATTTGGAATATACAGACTCCTTGTAAGACACTTTTTATTGAGTTTTTGATTAATATTGTTGTCAAACTATAATGTTGAGAGGTTTTCTCGTAGCATTTGGTTTTCTAAAGAATTAAAACTAACTCATGGATGATTAATTAGCTTAATGACATCTTTCTTATACTTGTCATTTGAGAATTGATATTTATAGGGTGGAGTTCTTGTTCCAATAGTATTGATACATTGATATAAGTTTTTATTGTGTCATACTCTTATCAGACATGTTTTGATTTTTTGAGATTTGATTGATACTTAAAAGTGTATTTTTATCAAGGTTTTATATCATCATTTTGCACTTGAAGTATCAATAACTTCTTAACTAAAACATGTTTTATAATAATATATCTAATAATATAAGATACCTTTAATTTATGATAAATGTTCATTTTAAATGCAGGCCTATCACATAAATGAAAGGATTGATTGATGAATTTAAGAACTGAAATTGAAAATTGAAAGGACAAAGAGATGGCCAAACTTAGAAAAGAGATGTCGGTGTAGTCCAAATCGGAACACTATTCAGTAATTAGATCATATCTAGAGTTGTAGATCTCAGATTTAGGTCTACTTTATATGAATGGAAAGATAAGACATAGGCCTACAACTTTTATATGGAGCCCAAGATCTAAAAAGGTCATGTTAAAGTTCAAATTGGAGCAACAACAAAGAAGTCCGAATCTATCCTTTAGCCCGAGCACTGTTTAGTATTTTAGTCATATCTGGAGTTCTAGAAGTCGAAATGATTTGAAGTTTTTACACAAGAAAGCTGAGACAATTGCCTACAACATTTATGTTTTCAAGTGGTTCAATTTTGACGTTATCAATGACGTTTTGGGCAAACAAAAGAAGATAAGAATTGTCACCAAGTTAAGAGTTGGCCACCTACTCATCAATTAGTCATCAAATCAATAGTTCCCAATTTTGGCCTATAAAAGGAGGTATTTGCCATGCATTTAGGCATCTTAGTTTCCAGATCAAGATCATGCTCTTACTTTCTCTCTTTGTATTTTTTATATTGCTTATGCTTTGCTTTCATTAATATCAAGTTTATGCCTTTCATTTCGTTTCATTTACTTAGTTAACTTTTATCTTATTTATGTTTTTATGTTGTTTATTTATTTTTCTTTCATTCATTATATTTAGCTAAGTTTATTATGTCAAGGTGAAAAGGTTACACTAATGGTGTAAGAATAAGTATAGTGTAAACTTAATATGGACTTTAATGTTTGATACTAACATGTTTTGTATTTGTTATCTTATTCACTCATTAATACTTTGCTTGTTAAATGACTATCTTGATTTATGTTGTATAACAGTTGGTACAATAAATGCTTGGCACTTTCATAGCCTATACTGTATGGTATAACCGACACTTGAGCTATGAAAGGAACTTGATTTGTTATTAACATAAGTTATAATCATGAATGCTTGATGAGATTACAAGTATTAGCATTAATCGAATAAGATGACTAATGTAATTATGTTAACAATCTATAATCAGATTGGAATCTCCTTTGTGTGTGGTTTCCAATTGAATAATAAGAGTTTATACTATATTTGTTTGATATACAATTAGTGGATCCTCTAATCTTGACATTTATGATTGTCATTGATTAATCCTTACATTAATATTCCATCTCAAAGTTCTCATCATCTTCTTCTTCTTCTCCTCCTCCTTCTTTTTCTTTATTATTATTATTATTATTATTATTATTATTATTATTATTATTGTTGTTGTTGTTATTATTATTGTTATTACTATTATTATTGTTGTTATTGTTGTTATTATTATTGTTTTTGTATTATTGTTATTTATAATTTGTACAATTAACCTCTCTATGGTTCGACTTCGGTCTTGCCGGGTTATTTATTACTTCGACACTTCTGCACTTTGGAAAAGACATCAATCTTTTAGTCATGTCAAGATTTATTGTCAATCTTATTGTGAGTTGCGTGACAATATGATCACGAGATTCACATCATTAATACATGATTTTTTTTAAGGAAAATAGATATTTTCCTTGGTTAACTTTATTTTTTTCTATTCTTTATTATAATTTTTTTATAGTGTTTTCCTATTTAAAAGAATTATTATTCCTAGTTTATTTTTCATATTTAGTACTATTAGTGTTTTCTAGTTTTTTTTTATATATATAAAGGGTTGTAATAAAATTTGGGTAAATGGAGACCATGATAAATAAAAATGAAGTATTTTGATTATCTTCCTATGCTCGTGGTTTTTTTTTCATTTTTGAGAATTTTGAAATATAATAAATTTCTTTATCCTCCATTTATGTTTATGTTTTGAGTTGTATTTTTTAGAGTTTGCGAACTTTGTTTAATAGTTCAACTAAATAAGATAATATTGTTGGTTATGAGGTTGATTTAAGTCATTTTATTTGCACTAATAGGTGAGTAATAAATCTTTAAAAACAAAGGATTTATCCTTAACAATAACAAGTTTCATATTTATTTAATTCTAGGTGTTTCAACAAATAAATACTTTATTTTTAAATTTATATTATTTTAAATTTAATAGTTTTTTAATTTATGTTTAGTATGCATGCTAAGATTTTATAAAATTATATTTTGTATAAACTAGTTTATGAACTACAAAAATAACAATTAAAACACATGAAAAAAGTAGGGGAAAAAAAGGAAAGAGAAAGAAGAGGGGAGGGGAGAATGAGAAGAAAAGGCAAGGGTTCTACATAAATGAAGACAAGTGGTGGCAACAAGGAATTTTGAATGGAATGACTGCAATTAGCCTTATAAAATTCTAAGTAGTTTTTTTATTTTTCAAGGTTTTTATGGTATATTTAGTTTTGAGTTTATAATATAATTTAGCGTTTATTTAGTTGTGACTTGTATGTTATAATTAATTGGGACATCTTCCAATATAGCTCTCATGTTTGTGTCAATTTAACAATTAAGCCCTTATTAATAAATTTAATCAAATTTACCCTTATATTCATGACATTTTATTGATATTAGACTAAATTGTAAACAATGTAGTTTCTTTCAATAAAGTAAAACATAGGTTAAATTTGATGAATTTTTTTTTAAAGGAGTAAATAGACACAAAAGCAAGGGCTCAATTGGGGTAAACTAATTTCATTTTTTAAAATT